CGCGGCGCGGTATCGTACGCGGGCGGGCGCTACGACGGCGCGTTCGCTCGCGGCGTGTACCACGGGTATGGTCGGCGCACGTATGCGTCCGGAGCCGTCTACGAAGGCCACTTTGAGCACGGCGCCCGGCACGGATTTGGCAAGTACCAATGGATCGACGGCGAGGTGTACCAAGGCGAATGGGCCCACGACCGGCCGCATGGCATCGGCGTCTGGTCCAGCGACGACCGCTTCTTCCATGGTGGTTGGCGCCGCGGCGTGCCGCACGGACCGGGCGCCTACGTCGACCAAGTGACAAAAGAAGCGACGTATGCCGAGTTCTCGCTCGGCACGAGCGCAGACGGCCGCCTTGTGTTACCCGAGCTCCTCCTCGACGCATAATTTGGTCTCGGAAAGAGTGTATGTGGCAGTCGTTCAGTGTCGCTTGTTGAGTTGTCTCTGGTTCAAAAGCGTCTTCTGGACTCGTTAGCGGACGAATTCTTTATTGACGTCGAACGATGGCGGCATCTTCACTCGTCTAGAACGCGTCTTGTTGCGACCTCCTTCCTCATGTGCTTGTATCATCCAGCACCTCGGAGCCAAACCGAGCTGTAGCGTTGGCCAACCACCAAGGAATCGGTACTCGTTGGACTGACTGCTAGCAAGGGTCCAAACCGCAAAATAACGTAGGAGGTATCTTGTATATATTCTATACGATGTACTACTATGAGACAAATTTCATAGACTGTGCAGTCGTGGTCCTTGGGGATTACGGCGCGTTGGTGATCACCGCCCAGTGGTCGTGCTCGGTGAGGTACGAGAACGGATCGTGCGACTCGTTTGTGCTGGGCACATACTCGATAAGCTCCAGGATCGGCTTGACTCTCTCCGTCCCAACCACCGACGTCAAGAACGCCGCTGCCATATCAATGCCCGCCGTGACGCCGGAGCTCGTCCAAATGTTGCCGTCAACGACCCAGCGCGCTTGCTTGACCCACTGGATGGCGCTCGAGCCGAAACTCTGGATGTGCTGGAAAGCGAGCTTGTTGGTCGTCGCACGCTTTCCGTCGAGAAGCCCCGACGCTGCGAGGAAGCTCGAGCCCGTGCAAACGCTCAGAATGTACGTTGCAGATTCCGCACGGGCGCGGACAAACGCGAGGTATGCCGGGTCTTTGGCGAATACGTCGGTGCCAAGGCCACCTACACGCGCGAGCCAAGAATGACGTTGGAGTTCAAAATGCAGTCGTGGGCTTACCAGGGAGCAAGAGGATGTCAATGCGCGGCGCCGACTCGAAGCTGTGCGAGGCCACCATCGGCGTGCCAGCCATCGGCGGGTTGGTCCACATCGTGCCTGCGTGCTGAGAGATCGTGACGGTATCAAACACGTCCGGCAGCATGTCGAAGAGCTGCAAAGGTCCTATTACCACACGCTGTGGGAAGACGACAAGGCACGATCAAACGCACCGGCAACGTCCATGATGGTGTAGCCGTCAAAGAGGAGAACGCCGACCGTTAGCTTTGGCATATTCGACTCGAGTCGACGCAGTGCAATTGGAAAATGACAGCACGGCTAAGACGGCCATCAAGTGCACCGAGACCTGGCTGTGCCATGGTGTCCTTACATCGGCGCCGATTGCTCGATCCATCGCTCGGCGTCATACTTTTATCGAATGCGTCCCGATTGCCCCGGAATACCCTGGGATTCGGCGGGGAGTCTCCGCGGAAAGAGACAGTCATGAGAAATAACATGCAGGGCTAGGGCCTGGGCTCGTTTTCATGACGCAAGCGGTCAAGTTGAGCGATCAACGAAGAACGTGTGGCGATTACCGAGCGTGTATGCATACCGGTACACCGAGCGTAGTGCAGCGGTGTGCACTGCAGTCTTTAGAGCATGCGTTGGACGGGATCCGAGGAGCAATTGCCCAAGGCACCAAAGCCAAGCTGCCCTAACCCCGTTCGAAGGGCAAGCGGGGAGCTGCGATGAGAGGTGTCGGTAGCATCAAGTCTCTCCATGGCGCTCTCAAACTTGCGTCAACGCTGTAGAGCTTACAAGGCGCCAGATAGGGGAACGCGGCTTCCATTTACGCAAATAGATATTATAATAAATGCGCCGCCTAATGCTAATCTATCAGACTAGGCCTTGCATTTATCATCAAACATCTTCCAAGCAAAGGCGTTCCTCTTTCCGTCACCTACTGACCGCTCTGCTTGGGCATCTCCTCGCACCGAGTGGGCGCTTAGAGGGAAGGGAAAGCGTTCGTGTCGGCGACGTTGGGGGCCT